GCAGTTTGAGAAAATGGTTTGTTTACATAAGTTCCTCCTCCACATGTGAAATGCACGACTGGCTATCGGCCACAGCGCTGTTTCACAATTCTGGAATCCCTCCAATCTGCATTTCAGAGCCTCCCTGCACTTACAGACCCGTTTTAAAGGAAAAGCTTGGTTAAAAAATTTAATTTGTACAGTTTGTTTCTTTAGTTTTACACTTGAGCTATGAGGCTGATGTAGTTAACCAGCAATGGAGGCCAATAAACTATCAATTAACATGGTGCTAACTGCAAATCGCATTGTTCAGTATCTCTCATAGTCTTGATTATGTGGTTTCTGACACTGTATGACTCACTGTTATCTACAAACATGGACTAAAGTACATTAACATAGCTAAAACAGCAGCAGCAGCCCGAATTGTGCAGGGACACTGTTATGACCGACAGGCCTTCTCTCTCGCTACGTGAGGACATGCAGCTCGCTCTGAGGCTGTCCTCCCCCCCAGAACAAAGACCCCTTTATCCCCACTGCCCCGAAGTGCCACCCAGGGGAACAAGGCTGTTTTCCTGCTGGCATTTTTACCCAGAGAAGGTTGAAAACGGGCACAGCAGCCTAAACACAGACGGCACTAGGGGCTAGCATGATTCACAGATTGTGGCCAGAGACAAATGGTCAATGCGTCTATGCAAATGCACGCAATTAGCAAAGGGGTGTGAACTTTTAATGCAAAGCCCACACCAACCACACTCAATACACATCCAGACCCCCCAAATGACACACACTGAGACAACGTAGGATCTTTTTAAAAAGCTAAAAAAGCCGCATGCTTTACATGCACCAGCTGCTGTAATGCTACACCTTTAAAATGGTTCTTCTGCAAAGACAATAGTTATGATGAGAAGTTTGATTCAGTTTACTGAAACGATTCTTTCAAAATGTCTTCAAGGAATCAAATACGCAATTAAATGATTCATTTTTGTGCCAGTGTATGGGTTGGGGGGCACAGTGATTCATCAAGTAGACCAATTGTTGCACTGTCATCTTCTACTTCTATTCAGTATTCGAGTCAGATTCTCTACGCACAGGAGCAATTTTTAATGATTCTATTTATTGAAACGAACACTTGAATCAGTGATTCATTTTCTGACCCTGACTTTCTGAGGGGCACAAGTACTTGATCAGTCAAGCAGATGTTTTTTATCTTCTACTTCTACTCACTGTGTGTCAGATTCTCACTACACGAAGGGCTAGCATAAACTATTTCTGGTTATTCGATTCAATGAATTGAACATTCAATCAGAGATTCATTTTTGACCCTGACTTTCTGAGGGGCACAATGATCAGTCAAGTAGATGTTTTAATCTTCTACTTCTACTCACTGCGCATCATACTCGCTACACGAAAGACAGGCACAGTGCACATGCACAATTAAATGAATTGGACATTTGAATCAGTGTGTCAGTTATGTCCCTGAGTTTCTGGGGAGCTCAATGATTTATCAAACAGACTCTGTCGTCTTCTACTTCTAGTCACTATTTGAGTTGCACTGTTTCATGCACGGGGCTGGTAAGCACAATTTTTTGATTAATCAATTCAATGAATCAAACATTCAAATCAGTGATTCCTTTTTGTCCCTGACTTTCTGAAGCGCACACTTATCAGTCGAACAGACTTTGTCATCTTCTTCTCATTATTTGAGATGGACTCTTGGCGCACAGGCCTAGCATGCAAATCTTTTAATGAATCAGTTCAATGAACAAAACATTCAAATATTTTTTTATTCCATGATTTCTTTTGGTGGAGGGCAATGACTACTCAAGTAAATCATTTCTGGAATATACAATGATATTCAATTCAATTAATGATTCAAATGAGCACAAACGAGTCAGACTCTAAACTCTAAATGGGATGCCCCCAGCACAAACACATCACTGAGCAGAATCCCTGTTACAACTGTGAAAAATCATTATTTAGATATTATAACTCAACCTACAACATTTAAGGGGAATTACACTGATTTTTAAAAAATCCATAATTAAACGGTCAAGACGTAAACAGAGACGTTCAGAATAGTTTGGTGTGAAATGCTCTGTTCTAGAGAAACTTACAGAGTCAGAATTGTTCACAGTGGTGGTGATAGGAACCAGACGTCCACCTCTAAAAGCTCCCTCACAGAAAGTTATTACATGGAATGGTTATGAATTCACTGCCTGATGTCTGAGACACTGTTTGATGATAGTTTTGAGAAGATTTTGGCCTAAAACATATATTTAAAGCTTAATTATGGTGGAGGAATACATGCAGCGCTATGAGACAAAATAGTCCCCAAAGAAAACGTATTATTTTCAGATTTATCACTATTTTACCATCATCAACATGCCATAAAAACCTCAGAAGACACGTTTAGGTTCACTGGTGGTTTTGGATAGTAAATAAAATGTCTGTATTTGTGTTGTGGCCCCTGGTTCCTATCACCACCACTGTAAAGACACCTGAACCACTTCACACCAAACCACTCTGAATCACTCTGTTTACACCTCAAACACTGAATTAATCAGACACTTTGAAAACACCGCAGGTGAATCGGTTCGACCGATTCTCTAAAAAGAGTCGGTTCAGAAGAACGACTCGTTCACTCGTCCCTGCCCGCATTACATCAGCGGAGTGTCCTTTCCCTAAAGGACAGTGCCCGAAGCAAATCACGAGCCCTCACATCCTTCACCCCCAGCTTTAAAACATTAAAGTCATTTCTGGTGGAAAAACATCAAAAGCACGCACGCGCTGCCGCCGGAACGCACGCGCACGTTCGCATTTCCTCACACTGCAGTTCAAACTACCTGCAAGAACGACCCAGAACGCTCGCGCGAGGGGGGGGCAAAGGCATATTTACATGTATACACAGCCCGTGCATCAAATGCATTAAAGCAGATTGTAAATGCAATCGAGATTTAACTGCATTCGTGCTCATGCATTCAGCTCCTACCTCTCTTCTCAGCGCTCTTCACCTGAGCTGATGATGATGAGGAGGAGGAGGAGGAGGAGGATGATGAGGCACGCAGACTTTTGCTGCAATGCCTCGACGCCCCACGTGACTCGAGGCTGCACTCCAATGGCAGCAGTCACAACTCACAACACATGTTATGTGAACAGGACAGCATTTGTGTTGAAATATATTTTAATTTTTTTTAAAGTGCCTCTTTTAACAAATGCAGCCCTGCTGCAAAACTTTGCAATGCAAAAAAAATGGACTCTATTCGCGAACAAAAAGGACATAAGAGAATGCAGGATGTGCAAAAAAGGAGGGAGCATTAGGTTTCCACCCACTGCAGCAGAGCCGCACTTCCAGCTGAGACCCCTCCAGTACTGCACACTTAAAACAGAACACGGTTCTTCGAGGGTTCTTTAGTAAAGAACCATTTGCATGCTTAAATGGCTCATTGCATGGTGACATGGTTCTTAAGACTGATGGGCAATGTGTTGCATGTGGTTCTACGTAGCACCAAAAAGGGTTCTGCTATTGTTACTGTTATGACGTTTTTTTTGGTGCTACATTTTCAAAAAAGGTTCTATGTAGAACCATATACAACATATTCTCCATTAATCTGAAGAACAATTTCACCATGCAAAGAACCACTTAAGCATTCAAACAGTCTAAACAGAACTTATGGTTCCATTCATTAACTAAAAAACTCTTGAAGAACCATCTTTTTAACAGTGTGTGCATCAGCCTTTTTGGTGTTATATAGAACTTCTAAACAGAACCATTCCTTAACTAAAGCACCCTTGAAGAACCATCTTCTTTAAGAGTGTATACATCAGAAGAATCTTTTTGGTGCTATATAGAACCGTTTTCAAAAAAAAAAAAACAAAGGGTGAAATGCTTCTATATAGAACTTCTAAATAGAACCACTCCCTTTACCAAAGAACCATCTTTTTGAAGAGTGTATACAACATAATTACCCTTTATGGTGCTATATAGAACCATATAGAATACATTCTCTATCGTAGAACCATTGCACCGAGGACAGAAACATTTAAACGTGAAATGCTTCTATATAGAACTTCTAAACAGAACCACTCCCTTTACTGAAGAACCCTTGATGAGCCATCTTTTTGAAGAGTGTATACAACATAAGAACCCTTTATGGTGCTATATAGAAGCATATACTACACAGTCTCCATCATAGAACCATTTCACCAGGCAAAGAACCATTTAAGCATGCATTTGGTTCTAAATAGAACCACTGCATTCACTAAAGAACCCTTGAAGAACCATCTTTTTCAAAAGTGTATCCAACATAAGAACTGTTTTTGGTGCATTATAGAACCATACACAACACATTCTCCATCAGAACCCTTTCACCAAGGAAAGAACCATTTAAGCAAGAAATGGTTCAATATAGAACTTCTAAACAGAACCACTCCCTTTACTAAAGAACCCTTGATGAGCCATCGTTTTTGAAGAGTGTATACAACATAAGAACCCTTTTTGGTGCTATATAGCACCATACACAACACATTCTCCATCGTAGAACCATTTCATCAGGCAGAGAACCGTTTAAGCATGCATATGGTTCTAAATAGAGCCTCTTAGTAGAACCACTGCCTTTAATGTAGCACCCTTGAAGAACCAAGTGTGTATAGTAATGATTATGTTACTAAAAACAACTACAAAACCACCAACAGCCCATGAAAAAGCGCGTGCGCAACAAATGGTGCTTAAAAATTGAGAACGCGAGATAACTGGGGGATAATTAAGGGGGTGGGCGGCGAGAATGTGCACGCATCCATCAGTGATGACCACATCTCTGCTTTTCACTCTTGCACAACTTTGCAGTCGTTCTTCTCCAGCTTCTTCTTCGAATGTTTCCGTTCCACCTTAAATGGTGCAGCAGTTACACTGTGGTGCCTCAGGCGCCAGAATGTAACTGCTGCACCATTTAAGGTGGAACGGAAAAATTCGAGCGAGCAGCTGGTCAATAGGAATCCAACTTAAGCCTCGTGTCTTTTCTTACCTGTTATGATGTCTTCGATCACCATCGTGTCTTGGTCAGCCATCGTTTGCCTCCGGTCATGAAAACACAGGCAGCAGAGCCCCTTTTTCCTTCACTTCTTTCTTTCTTTTTCTTTTTTAGATCATTAGATATCGAGGCACTCCTGCCTGCTCAGCTCCAGCCGCCCGTTTCTCTCTTCTCCTCCGCTCTTCCAGCCTTTTTCAGCACGGAGCGCTGAAGTTTGAGGAGCGGTTCCGTTTTTTGCTCGACTTTTTTCTGACACCTTGGAGAAAGGAAGTCCACTGCTGGCGGTTTTCCGTCTGTGTAGCTCCCCCTCCAGCCCCCCTGCTCGACCCTCCGGCTGCTTGCACTGACCTAATGACTGCTCGGCCCTTGCTGAGTTGAAACGCTACTATACGCGCTGGTAATCTGCAGTAAAGCAGGGCTGGGCGAGTCGATACCTGCGATATTTATGTCCGGTTCTGAGAACCGATACTTATAAATATCGATGCTATATATTTTTTTTTAATCAGTTATTTAACAGAGCCCATATCCAGTTTTAATTTTATCTTATTATTCTCATAAGGTCCACATAAGGAAGAAAAATATGAGTACATGTATACAAATGATAAAAAAAAAGTAAATAATAAGTAAAGTAAGGCAAGGCAAGTTTAAAGCACATAATGCTGGTGTTCTGATGAATTGTGCTCTCTTGTTGAAATGTCCTATTTAGTGGAAGCTCCATACAAAAACTGTAGGTAGGATCTTTTGATAGCCTAACTCATCAGAGGGTAAGTAGTAATATTAAGTTTAATCTGTACTGAATTCACATCAAAAACACAATAAAATGTTTAAAATACTGAGTTACTACACATATCTAATGAAAACTGCATGCTTGGTAGGACCAGTCAATGGGTAGAACCCCAGCTCTACCTAATAATCGACATATGCAGCTGCTTAGGGCCCCACAGCTGCCAGGGAACCACTTAACAACTCATGGTTAATCAAAAGCAAACATATACATGGGTTTCTGTGCAGCGCCATCACGGAGATGCACATGCAACAAGGGAGCAGAAAGCGGCACTCCTCACGGCACAAAGCAACAACGACAAGGAGCTGTTGCGCAGTAAACTGCACCAACTGCAGAGATGGTTGGACAATGTTTAATACTGTTGGGGCTGACCCTATCAAACCAATTGCCTCTCCTGCCATCTGTTCTGAGACTTGTGTCTATCAAACACCTTTAAGTGTATTAAAATGGCCCAAAATGTACTTTGTTGTGTGGAATACATTTTTGAATGAAACAATATATTTGAATTTGAAATTGAAATCACATGCCCATGTATTTGTTCTCCATATGGAATGTAATTTCGTGTCATGCCTAATAACACCAGTTAAATGTAGTCCAAAACCATCATGTGTTAACCTGTTAAGTCCATTCGTTGGACATTTGGTTTATGAATAGCTGCTATAAGAAGGCAACCAGTGCGTTACATACAAATGCATAATAACCAACAGAGCCAAGTTTACAAGGGCTTCTATTATAAAATGAATTAGCACTTTGTAGTGAAAAACTGCTCTGAAGTCTATTTGAAGAGTTGAAAGGGCTTTTGTCACTCACAGAGATGAATGCTGGGCTATAGTGTATGTGGAGGAGGTTATATTAGATCCGTAGGTTACAGTGTCTGTCCAAAAGTATCCATAATCTCCATAGACCAACAGAATGCTATGGGTTAGTAACATTTCGTCATAATAATTCAAAAACACATTTTTAGCAATGTATATTTACTAGGAATGTGCATTCTGTGCACTTTCTAATTCTGCAATGACAGACTGTAGTCCATCTGTTTCTCTGCATACTTTGTTACCCTGTTTTTTGATGGTCAGGACCACCACAGGACCCCCACAGAGCAGGCATTATTTGGGTGGTGGGTCATTCTCAGCACTGACATGGTGGTGGTGTGTTAGTGTGTGTTGCACTGGTGCGAGTGGATCAGACACAGCAGTGCTGCTGGAGTTTTAAACACCTCAGTGTCGCTGCTGGACTGAGAACCAAAAACATCCAGCCAACAGCGTCCTGTGGGCAGCGTCCTGTGACCACTGATAAAGGACTAGAGGATGACCAACACAAACTGTGCAGCAGCAGATGAGCTATCGTCTCTGACTTTACCTCTACAAGGTGGACCAACAAGGTAGGAGTGTCTAATAGAGTGGTCAGTGAGTGGATGCAGTGTTTTAAACTCCTGGACTGATCCACTTGTACCAGCGCAACACAAAGTAAGTCAATATAATGAATGTGGCCCAGATCTGGCCCAACTACACTGTTGGCACACAACATGCATGCCAGAATCAGGCCACAAATATAGACACGAGGCAATGAAGCTGTACAACATCTGGTGCTATTCTGGCTTGCGTGCCTAACATCTGCCCAGCAGTCAACCACCAACACCCATGAAAGCCAGAATCGGCTCAGAACTGTCTACTATTTGGGTTATTTAGCTTAGATAGCAACAAAGATGTGCTATCACTGCCTTCTCAGTCTCGAGTGATTCAGGGTGGTTTGGTGTGAAATGGTTGATTGTACAGACTCTTTTTGTACAGATTGTACAGATTTCTTTATAGTGGTGGTGACAGGAACCAGGTGTCGCCATGACTACAACACAGATATAGACATTTTTGTACTATCCAAAACTACCAGTGAACCTACACGAGTCTTCTGAGTTTTATATGGAATGTTGATGATGATAAACTATGTTTTAAGCCATAAGCACACACAAACACACACACACACACACACACATTTTCTAAGCCGCTTATCCTTCTGGGCCGCGGGGGGCACTGGAGCCCACCCCAGCAGTCATTGGGTGGAAGCAGGATACAATATGGACAGGTCACCAGTCCATCACAGGGCATAAGCCAGAAGCAATGTATTTGTAATCATTTCTTTCTGTGAGGGAGCTTGTAGAGGTGGACGTCTGGTTCCTATCACCACCACTGTGAACAATTCTGACTCAGTAAGTTTCTCTTGAATAAAGTGTTTCACACCAAACCGCTCTGAATGACTTTGTTTACATCTTACCCATTTATTTCTGCAGAAATTTTAAAAAATCAGCAGAATTCCCCTTTAAAGTAGGATTTGTTTTATTATTTAATGTATGTTATGTATGTTTATGTGTATGTTCATTTGCCACCTGCTAGACACTTCCAGGGAAAAGTGTGAGCAGAGTTGTGGCCTAAGATTGTTTTTGCTTTTTAACTTAATTGTTTTTGGAATAATTAATATTTTTCATGAAAACACTAAGAATTTTACTTAATTGCAGAAAATGTGTGTTTCAGTAGTGACAATTCTTAATGTTCCACACTGATTTTCAGACTTTGGGGCAGATTTACTTCAAAACAATGGGATCTAACTGCTCACCATGTGGCCATGAGGGACAGGGATGAAGCCTCACGTCCTGCTCTAAAATGCAAGGGCATGGCTAAAATAAGGCTCCGCCCACAAATAATGGGACAGTATTTTTGACTTTTTTTTAATTAAACTCTTAATAAATCAAAATACTCACTTTAAAAAAAAGAAGATCCAGATTTCACTGTGGAACTTATCACAGCTAGAATCAAGACCAGCTCAAGCTATTGTACCACCACCACCCAAACTGGAGTTATTGTGTTAAAAATCACAGCGCTGGACCCCACCTTTCCTGTCAGGAAGTACGTGCATGTGTAAACTATGTGGCCCTTGATGTTTTAGCTGCCTATAGAGTGATTTCAAATGTCCTGCTTGTCTTGCATCGTATTGCACCATTACATTCAAATCAGTGGGCAGTTTTTTTAGGTTTGCTTATTTATTATTAGCATGTGTGTGACGTAGTACAATCAGAACAGCTGGCTATGGCTATAATAAGGAGAAATGAATAGAAAAATACTTAACAGGCTGAAATATGGTGAGCATGCAGTGCTGAGAGTCGCCCTGTAAAGCCTGAAATAATCACTTAAAAGTCTGAGATATCGGGTCGGGAGTTTTTCTCATCACGTTGTACATTTTTTGTATAATATCACAGGCCCACACTCAAAAAGAAGGTCCGGCTCGAAATTTCAATGTCAAATGCTGCAAAATCAACATTATATTGATGAAGATGTGATGATAATAGTAGATAATTCACTCACAGCCTCAGAGGACACGTCCTTCACCAAGTTCTAACTGAGTTCTCTTTGAATTCTCTTTCAATCATCAGATTCATCCACTCGCTGAAGGGACCGAAGCACAACCCACGCTACAAAATGTTGTTCCGCATGTTGCAATAGCACATTTCCACCAGAGAGGGCTCCAAATCCCCAAAGCTTTCTAAGTAGATACTAAATGTATTCACACACACACACACACACATCATCTAAACTGCTTATCCTTCTGGGTCGCGGTGGGGTGCTGGAGTCTATCCCAGCTGTCATTGGGCAGAAGGCAGGATACACCCTGGACAGGTCGCCAGTCCATCGCAGGGCAGACGGACAGACAGACATACTCATTCACACACACATTCACACCTAGGTGCAATTTAGCATGTCCAATTGGCCTGACTGCACGTCTTTGGATTGTGGGAGGAAACCGGAATTACTAAATGTATTTAGAATGTATTACTTTTTTTATGCATTATAAGATAACACATAACTAAATACATTTAGGATTCAGGATTTGGTCATCATGTCGCCACTTTTTTGGGCTATTCTGCCCAACTCACTGTGCTGGTCATTGACTACCTAGTAAACAACCGTCACTATGATAATGCACACTTGAAAAAGACCTTTTTACTTAAATTATGAAACACTTTTGATAACATGCAGCACCTTATTAGGCCATAATGTCTACTGTCCAACTAATTACTCACTTTAAACTCATTTTGGCTAATGTTTTAATGTTTATTGAAATATTTGTTCTTATCCTTTGGCAGTGGATTAACTGATAGGAACATTTAGGCTTATATACAGTAATCATACACAAATCATACATAAATCATAAGAGGAATTAATCCTCCATCTTTACTGTTTGTTCTTTAAAGCTTTTAGGCTGTTTTTTTTTTTACAAGCAATTTAAAAGATTTCTTCTTCTGTAAGACAACACTTTTAAGATGTATTATATTCTATAGTCAAAGCGGCCCATATATATTTAAATAACTTATTATGATAACATTGTAATATAAATATGTCACTTTCACTTTGAAAACTCTATTTACAAACATGAGAATGATAGTTAATCTCAATTTATAGCCCCCAAAAAACGTAAATATTACAAATATAAAGCATATTAGCATGATAAAAACGTTACCTCATTCCCACAAAAAAGCTTTGAAAACAACTCTCTACTTCTTTGGAAAGGAAAATGTTATC